GGCGGCGAGCTTGACGAGAGAGGCCGGCGCCCAGCGGATGTGCACATCCCCCGCTGGCGCAACGGCGTCCCAGCTGCGCTCGACTTCGAGGTCACCTCTGGGCTGCGGGGCGACCTCCTTGGAGCCTCGGCAGCTGCGCCGGGCGCCGCCGCCGAGCGCTACGAGGAACAGAAGCGCCAGATCCTCGGCGCGGCGCGCAGCTGCAGCGCGTCCGGCGTCACCTTCATGTCCATGGTGATGGGGGCGCACGGCGGCGCTTGGGGCAAGGAGGCGCGCCGCGCGCTTGCCGTCATGGCGAAGCGCGTGGCTGACGCCACAGGTGAGGACCCCGCCCTCGCGGCGGCGGAGCACGCCCAGCGACTCTCGCTACTCCTGCACAAAGAGAATGCGCGGGCCGTGCTCTGCCGGCTGCAGGCCCCAGACAGGGCGCCGGCAGCCCGGCCGGCCGCGGCGACGGCGGCGCGGGAGGCAGACGCCGCGTAGGCCGCCAGCTGGCGATTACCGCCCCCGCCTTCCGCCTTCCGCCCCTGGCCGAGGCCGGCCACCCCGCCGCCCTCGCCGCCCTAGCCCACGCCCGGCCGCCAGCGACGCGCCGCCCCCGCCCCGAGCCCCCGCGCTTGGCCGACGACGACGACGACAAGCTCACCGCCTCCGACGACTACCCACGCCGACGACGACCCCGATCGCCGCCGACGCCGCCCCCCGCTCCCCGCCCCTCCCGCGTCGGCCTGCCTGCGTGCTCGTTTGCTTGCTGCTTCCTTTCCCTCGCCTTCTGCATGGTTTTGTCAGCTCGTTGTTTTTTTTCATTGTTTCTTGGCCTCCTCCTCCTCCTCCTCCTCCTCCTCCTTCGCCTCCTCCTCCTCCTCCTCTTCCTCCTCCTCTTTCTCCTCCTCCTGTGGACCTGCCCAGCCGAGGGTGCTGGCTTGGCAGATGTTGGTTTTAATTTTCGTGTCGAATGCTGGAGGGTGCCCCCGTCCGACTCGGAGGCCAGGGTCAGGGGCCTCCCTGTTTGCTTTTGCTTTTGGTTGACTCATCCCATATGGCCGATTGTGCAATGTGCCAAAACGTCCCGAAAGGCTTCCAATAGCACAAGAAGGCCCCAAGAGGCACAAATCCTTGATTTCCTTATGGTTTTTGGTGAATTGGGGTGTTCTTCTCTTTTCGGTTTCCCGACGCTCCAAAACGGCAGTCTTCTGGGCGTCCGAAGCTGCCTGGGAGGCTCCAAAATCGCCCCACAACCATCCGAAAGGGCTGCCAGGCAGTCCAAGAGAGCCCCAAAACGGCACAACAGGGGTCCAAGATGGCCCTAAGAGAGCCCCATGGCGGCCCAAGATGGCCCTAAGACACCCTCCGAAGCATTCCTAGTCTTGACCCGGTCGTTCAGGGAGACCGCGGTTGGAGGCAGGGTGGCCCGAAGAAGCCCGCAGAGGCCCCCAGAACACGCCCAGGAGGCCTCCAGAAGACCTCAAGACAGCCTGAAAGCCTTGTGCGAGGCCCCCAGAGACTCTCCAAGGAGGAGCCTCCGCAGAAAGAGCTGAGGAGGATGGAGAGAATGCGCAGGGTATAGCGAGAATGAGGACAAAAAGCATGAAGGAAGGATAACGAATAACATTCTTATAACGGCACTGCCGGCCAGAAAAGGCAACAAGGAGTTATCGCTAAATTGTCGGCTTGATTTTCTTACCATTTCGCTTGCATACCAAACTTCAAGGACCAAGGTGCATGGCGCGAAGCGCCACCCCAGTCTTGTATGTGTACATACATATATACAGAGAGAGAAAGAGAGAAAGAGAGATGTGTACATATATATGTATTGAATAGCGGCACGAGGCTCAGAAGATTCAGGCCTGGCCGCTTTTGTGCCCCCGACCGCCCCATGCAGGTGCCTCCACGGCGCGCCTGATGAGGCGCTCGGCGGTGCATGAGGTTCTTACTACTGCGTCCTTCAAGCCCCGGTCTGCCAACCACGAGCGCACCACGGCTGACATACTAGATGAGCTCAGCAATTGTCAGGAGGGTGGCCAAACGGCCCCGCGAGAGCACCAAGCGGCTTCAGACACCCACCTGACGCTCGAAGACGGCCCAAAGAACACACCCAAGAGGCCCTCCAAACGCAAAACAACCATGATTCCTTTTATGATTGTTGCTTGTTTGGGGGGTACTCGGTTCCTCGGTGTTCGGGGCGTCCGGAAACGATCAAGAGGCACCGAAAATGGTCCCAGAACGACCCCGAGGGGTTTGCAGACAGTCCAGGAGAACCCCAAGATGGCCCCATTGGGCCCCAAGAAAACCCGAAGTGAGCCCCACGACGGCCCAAGATGGCCCCGAGACGTCCCGAAAGTTTCTTCAAATCGTGACCGTGTCGTGGAGGGAGACAGCACTTCGCAACAAAGAGGCCCGAGGAAGCCCCCAGAGGCCCCCAACAGTCGCCCAGGAGGCTGCCACGAACCCCCAAAGAAGCACTTTACAACAGTTTCGTGATGCCCATGGAAAAGCTGTCCAGGGAGGAGCCTTCGCCCCCCCCAACAAAAAGAGGACGGGGAAGAGTTCGAATAGTCAAGCGAGAACGAGGAAGAGGAAATATCAGGGAAGGAATGGGAGCAGCACATGATAACGACGAAAACCGCAGCCAGGAGTTATCGTTGTTGCTTTATGTGCTTACCTCTCTTTCAGTCCGCCCGCAGGCCAATATTGAAGGACCAAGGTGCAGGCGCGAAGCGCCTGTGCAGTCTTGTGTGTATGTACGTTTGTATACACACATACACAAAGCTGTACATACGTGTATATAAATATGCACGTTTGTTTGTGTACATGTATACGTATCTGTCTTTCTCGCTCTCTCTCTCTATATTCCTCTCTCTCGTCGCATTCTACTCTCGCTACCCCCTATACCGAATCCACTCTTTACTCCGCCTGCTCTCTACACTTTCCCAAGTCTCTCCGCACTTTCTATTATGTTTCCCCCACCTCCTCTACTGCAGCTTCCTTACTACGCACCGAAGAACCCAGGAACCTGGCAACGGGAACCTGGCAACCAGGAGCTTGGGAATTCGCTGGCCACCGAAATCGGCGCCACGTTTTCACAAAGTCCTCGCCACAGGAAACAAGACACCCGGAATTGGGAACCCCAGAGTTTGGCAGCTTGCATGAATGTGCCCGGCATTTGAATTTCAGCCAGTAAAATTTAATAATTTGAGGAGCCCAGGAGTCCCGCCGCCTACCAGAATCAACCCAACAGTATTCTCTAAAGCCTTGCAAGGTTCGACAAATCCTTGCAAACACTGGTTGGAGAGCTTCCGCGAGGACCCTTTCAGTGCAAGCATGGGGTGGGGAAATGCGGTTCTTGCGTGAGAATTTTCAGGCTTGATGGCCATACATTCAAAATTGTGTTAAAAGTGTTCTCTCGTTCGATACGCAAATAGAACTCACGGACTGCAAAATACGGCAGCTACACGGATGGAAGGCAGTTCCTTTCCCAAGCAGGTTTCTCGTTTGACATTTCTTTAAGCTCCATGATGCAGCCGTATAGCTAGAAGGATGGAGCGCGGCTCCTTTTCAAAGCGGGGTTTCCCCTGAATGGCAGGTCACTGGGCCACTTGGCTTGCAGGGCGTGCTTCCCGTACTGGAACGCAACGGTAGTAGAAGCTTTTGAGGGCGGACTTGAGCTCATAAGGCGTGTTGCATCATCGTTGATGAAGTTTGTTTGGTCCTCCTTCTCCTCCTTTTTCTTTCTCCTTCCTCATCACGGGTCCTTCCTTCTGCTTCCTCAGTCCTCGTTGTCCTCATCATTCCTGTTCTTCCTCCTATTCGTTATTCCTCACTCATCGCGCGTTCTCCTCACTCATCACTCATCTTTCCTCCTCTTGACTTCTCACCTTTCACTCCTCATTCATCCCCTCCTCACTCCTTCTCCTCCTGATTCCTCCTACTCCTCGCTCCTTGTTCCTCCTCCTCCTCCTCCTCCTCTTCCTCCTCCTCCTCGCCACCCCCTTCCCTACTCGTCGCCACTTCCTCCGAGAGGAGGGATGATGATGATGATGATGATGATGATGATGATGATGATGATGATGATGATGATGATCATCATGACGATGATGATGATGATGATGATGATGATGATGATGATGATGATGATGATGATGATGATGATGATGATGATGATGATGACGATGACGATGATGATGATGATGATGATGATGATGATGATGATGGTGGTGGTGGTGGTGGTGATGATGATGATGAGGAGGAGGAGGAGGAGGAGGGACCAGAGTAAATCCAAGATACATCAACGATGATGCAGCACGCCCACGCGTCGAAAGCCCCATGCCAAGAAGCCCCTGAAGGAATTCCTTATCGCTCCGCGACGTGCCCCCTTAGAAGCCGAGCTACCAATGGTGCTGCAATTCAGGCGAGATCTCAGTTTTGAAAAGGCATTGCCATCCGTGCGTCTAGGGATACGGACGACGACGAGGTAGGATCAGAAAGTCCAAGGAAGCGTCCAGCGAGAGCCTCACGTTGGAAAAAAAACGCCCTCAATCCGTGTACACTTTTTCTCACAGTTTAGACGTCTGGCCATAAAGCCGAAGGAAGTGTCAACCGAGAGCCCAGATTTGAAAAGAAGTCTCCATCCATCCGCGCAGCTGATGCACATTTGAAGACGTTTGATCATAATGACTACGGAAGTCGCAGGCGAACGCTTCAGCTTGAAAAGGAGCCACTCTACCTCTGCGTAGTTGCTGGAAAGTTTAAGACGAACGTGCTCAGCTCTAATGCGAGGGCAACAATTACGAGCCCCGTCAATCTGCGTATATGAGATGGTGGAAAGATGGCATGTTGTATGTATGCGCGTTGCGATTAGGCGAGAGCACAAGTTTGAAGACCGAATCCAGAGCTCCATGCGTGTAACGATTGACACTTTTAAAGATGAATGAGCGCGGTGAGGAGAGGAGGAGGAGTCAAGCCCTCTGCTCGCCATCTCCCTCTTCGGACCCGCCGCGAAGGTGGCCGACCACGTGGCCGCCGGCGCGCGCGCGAAGGCACTCGTGGCGGACGCCGCGGCCAACCTGGCTGCCGTGCACTTGGCGCTGGGCGACGCCCCGCACGCCAAGGAGGCGGCCGAGGGAGCCCTGGCGACCAGGAGCAGAAGACGTAGGAGGAAAAGGAAGAGGAGGAGGAGGAGAAGGAGGAGGAGGAGGAGGAGGAGGAGGAGGAGGAGTGGGGGGGAAGAGGAGGAACGAGGAGCGAGGAGCGAAGGGGGGAGAGGGGAGGAGGGAGGAGGAGGAGGACAGGTTGGGGCAGGCCTCCCTACCCTCCCCCGCGCCGCCCCCCCCTCCCCCCCGCGAGGTGATGGCGCCCGGGCATGTGAAATCCCTCTACCGGTTGGCCAAGGCCTGCCTGCTCATGGATGAGTTCAAGGAGCTCGGGCGGTGCCAGCCATTCAGCCATTCATCACGGGAGCCTACGTCGGTCCATTTGTTGAATATGTTGCGTTTCCCTCCTCCTCCTCCTCCTCCTCCTCCTCTTCCTCCTCCTCCTCTTCCTCTTCCTCCTCCTCCTTCTCTTCCTCCTCTTCCTCCTCTTTCGAGCTTCGAGCTGCGGACACTGTCGAGCGATCGCCTCGATGCCCTCGATAGCCCTCCTCCTAGCGGGTGCTGGGGGAGGGCATAACGAAAACCAAGAGGGTACAAAACAGAAAGAAGGACGGACGATGATGATGCACCTAGGGGGAGGGATGAGAGGAGAAGGTGGCGCCTGTGTGCGCCAGCGCCGTGCTGGCGCTAGGCTGGCAAGAGCATGGGCGCCAGCTCCGTGGGGGGAGCTGAGGTCCACTTCGGCGCGCCTCTCCTTAGTGGGTGTCCGCTTCTTGCCGAGAGGTACGCGAGGAGGTGGGAAAGAGTGTGGTACTCCTAGGTGCGGCGCGGCAGTCGCGGCGGAGAGAGCGGTGTGTGTGTGTGTGTGAGGGGGGGGGCGGGTAATACGAGGGAGCACTGTGGACAGAACAGGGTGGCAGCTGGGCGTGCTGTGGAGAAGGAGAGCAAGTGCAAGAGGTCGGAAAATGTGAAGGAATAAGGGGGTGGAAGTGGCCCGAGCGGGGCTCTCACCCCCCGAGGAGGGGGAGCGAGAGCCCCCTTGGCTTGGCTCTTGAGGTCGGCGCGGCCGCCTGATCCACGGCCGCCGTGGGGGCTATAGCCCCCCACGGCAGCCCGTTCCGAGCGCGGCCCTGCCGGTGCTCCCCCCCTCTTGGGCTCGTCGTGGTCTTGCTCCCGCCTGCCTCCGTCCCCGTCCCCTGTCCCGAGGGTGGCTGCCTGCTGCGGTGGGGGGTGGGGGGGAGGAGAAGGTCAGCGGGTGAAAAGTTGGGCGAAGGGGCTGCAAGAAGAAGAGGTGAGCGACGGGTTGGTTAGTGCGCCCAGAGGTGCCTCAGAGGAGGTAGGAGAGAGAGTGGCTCTCGTGCATGGAGTACGTGATGTGGAAGGAGGCAAAGTACATGTAGTACAGCAGGTTGCGATTGTGGATGACTGCGTAGATGGTCGAAGGCGTCCAGCCCGTCCAGGAGAGCATGGAGCTGCGGGATTTGGAGTGCGTTGCTCCCAGTGGAGGGTTGTAGAGATTGCGGCCGCTGTGCCGCGTGGTTGCTGGTGCTGCTGTTGCCGTGGTGGCAGTGAAGGGAGTGCGTAGTCAAGGTGTGGCGTGGAAATGAGAGATGCGGGAAAGGTAGGATCCGGCTGAGAAGTGGTTGTGCCGTCGTGGAGCAGAATTGGTGGAGGCATTGAAATGCTGCGCCCCGCGAGGGTGGCTGCAGTGTAAGAGGTCTGACGCTAGGAGAGACGGTGTTGATGCTGTTGCTCCTCACGGTGAAGGTGGCCCTTGCCACGGTTGACGTCGCTGAACCCTGTGTCCGCAGTTGGCCTGCTGTGTGGCTCGTGCTGGTTGGTTTGACGGTATGCGGTTCTCTCATAGTCGATGGTGCGATACACGATGACGTGCACAAATTTGCGGTATTCGTTCAGGTTCTGCGTGTCTGTGGTGAGGCGGAGGCTCACGATGGTGTCTGTGATGTTGGCGATGGACGCTTCGTGCTCGATCATGCGGCTTGGGTCGCCCTCGGTGTGGCGGCACGGTGAGTCAGGGTCCTCGCCGTGTTCATGTGCCTGGTGTGTGACGTCGTTCGTTGTCCGCTTGCCCCATGTCGAGTGGCCCGTGGGTGTCTATTCCCTCGGGTTGGGTGGCGGCTGGATCCAGGTGATGTTGATGTTCTCGCCCTTGCGGATGGCGAGGCATATGTCCTTGTTCTTGTCCTTTGGGACCCACTACTCGAAGGCCTTGCGGACCTGGTTGACGTCGCCGTCTGGGTAGTCCAAAGCCGTCCCGAAGAAGACCGTAACGGGGAAGTGACCTCATTGTGTCTCAGCTTGTGCCTCTTCTTGGGTGGGTTGGCTTGCGTTTCCCAGATCGATGGTCAGATCGAGCTCGTTCTGGCTGATGGTGTCCGTCTGCCCTGTGCCACTTTGCTTGCCGTCATTGCTGCCTGGCCCCAAGGTAGTACTAAGGTGGGGCTGGTCGATGTCGGCTCCCTGGGCCATCGCCTTGGCGTGAGCGTCGGCGCGTGTTGGTGGCGGCTGCTTGGCCTGCGGTGGCGGCAGCCGCACAGCCCGTGGCGTAGGCGATGACGTGTGGGTGTCGTATGTGGTCGCAGCCCTTGGCGATGCTCGGCTTGCTGTGGCTGTCGGAGTCGGGCTTCCCTTGGCAACTGCAATATATGGTGCCTTGTATCTGGGCAATTGATTGTTGTCGGTAGGAGTGCCCTCCTCGTCGGTGTCCTCTGCCTTCTTCGCAGTCGTCTACTGTGGTACTTGAGGTGCCGCTCCGATCTGTGGTGCCTCGGGTGGGAACGCGCTCGTGTTGTGCGCCTTGGGGTCGTGCGGGTCGTCGGCGGTGAGTACCTCGTTGGTACGGGGTGATACCACGTCGTTTGCGTAGCTTGTCTGCGCCGTCCTGGACGTCCCAGGGCTGATCCGAAATATTGTCCATGTTGAGTGGGCCTGTGATCATGTCCCTTGCGATGTAATGTATGATCTGAGCAGCTTGTAGAAGCTCCTTCCCGTATTTCACGTTTGCAAGAGATGATGCTGAGTCCCGCTGGCTGAGCGGGTAGATGGCGAAGATTACCTTCTTGCGGAACTCCGTGTCGTTGTTGTATTTGTTCCGGTACCGCACCATGTGGATCTTCTCGAGTGAGGTGACTTCGATCCTCTCGTTGGCCTTCTCGGGTGGTGGTCATGGCGGTAGCGGTGGCCTGGGCTCATCGCCTTCGATGTTGCATTTGAAGGTCTCATTGTTGTCGTTGGTCAAGTGTCTCTTCCGTGGCGATCGCAGCTTCCAGTTCTCTGGGAAGTCCCACGTGGTCTCGAGGGACTACGGGTTGTGGTAGTACGCCCTGGCGTTGCTGCCTTCAGGGTAGGTCCTCCATAGGAAGGGTGCCTTTAGGTGGTGTGATGCCAGTGTGGGTAGTTCGTCGTTTAGGTCGGGTGGGTCGGACCTCGGGGCTGCTGGCTCGTACATCAAGGGAACCACACGTGGCCGCGCGTATAGATTGAACCTTGGTCTGATGTCGAGGGATGCCTAGGCAGCCGTCGGGTGGGTCGTCCAGCGTGGGACGGTGCTCGGTGCCGGCTTTGCAGCGGGCACGATGGCAGTGGTCTCGATTTGCTGGCAGTGAGGGAAGGCTTGGGCCCTCCTGTCCTCTGGCGGCGTTAATTGGGTAGCCTCCTGTCGATAGGGTCAATCGGTTGCCAGGTGGGACACAGGCTGTGGAATCCTGGCATGTACGTGAGGCCTGCCAAAGTGGCGTCGTACTCAAGGTCCTGGTTGAACTCGTAGGATTGCTGCATTTCCGCCAGCTGCTTGTCCCCCTCTGTCTTGTGTTCTTCGAATAGCCTGTCGTAGCTGGTCATCTGGGTCACGACTAGGTTGCCGTGTATGTTGAACGTTTTTGGTGGCTGCCATGGCGCAGTATCCTTGTTGACCTCACCATGGGAGTAGGGTCCATGGGTGATATCAGCTCTAATTCCACGTTTTCTGTGCCGTCGGTCGTCCATGTCGTGATGATGTTGTCGATTTCGTCCGCTGTGTCGGTCGCCACATATCTGTTCACTGTGACTGGTCCCGTGTGTGTCGCAGCTCCCCGAGTTCAGCTGGCCACGCTGGTAGGTTTCCTGCGCCTGAGCCTAGTTTCATTTCCAGTGGGCGTCCTGGTCCCAGTGGTGGCCTGCACGAAGCGCTGTAGCGGTCCAGGTAGTTAAGCTCGTCCTGGTTACAGCGGTTGATCGGCACCTGGTCTCCCGCAGGGTCACCTGGCAGCGTGTGGAGGCAGCCGTTGGTCTGGGGCGTGATGTGGTGGATGTCTTCGGGGATGATGCAGACGTCGGTCGTCGGGCGTTTGGCCTTGGCTTCAATGGTCTCGATAACGTCCCTTGGGTACATGCAAACTGTTCTGGCCTCTGATGGTGTCAAAATGTTGTAGTCTAGCGCGGTGCCCAGATATACGTAGCACCCCGCAGTTGCGGATAAGAGTGAGGGGGCGGCGAGGACGTCCGCAGTCTGCGAGACTAGTAGAAGCCCGCCGCAGGCGCCTAACTTATACAAATTGTGCAGTGAGCCCGCCGCAGGCGCCGATCCTTTCGTTGAAGCAATGTGGGTGGGTCGCGGGATGGGTCGCCGGTGGGTCGGGGGTGGGTCGCGGGCTGGGTCGCGGGATGGGTCGCGGGATGGGTCGCGGGTGGGTCGCTGGTGGGTCGTGGGTGGGTCGCGAGGTGGGTCGCGGGTGGGTCGCGGGTGGGTCGCGGGGAGGGTCGCGGGGAGGGTCTCGGGTCGGTCGCGGGTGGGTCGCGGGCGGGTCGCGGGAGGGTCGCGGGCTGCGTCGCGGGGGGGACGACGACAACAAACAACAACAGCAGCAGCAACAGCAACAGCAGCAACAACAACAGTCCGCACCGCAGAACCTCACTTCAGTGACCACGCGCCCAGGGACAGTGAATGACCGTTCAACCCCTTCACTCTGACAAAATCAACGTGAGGTGCCCCATCTTGTTCAGCGTGGTTGCTGTGTATGGTGTGGCGTTTCTCCATCTCGAAGGCTCTGCACTTAGTAGCTTGCTTGGTGTAGGCGCTGTGTATTTACTTAAGGTTGGTCCACTCTTTTTCGTGATGCCATGTGTGTTGCGCGGCGAGTACAAGTAGTGGTGGGCCTCTTTCCTCGAGCTGCCGTGCCGTGTCCCAAGAGATCATGGTCAGCGGCTTCTGCTTGCAATATCCAGTGTGGCCGGCCTGTCCTTTTGTCGGCGTCGTTGTCGTTCATATATTTGATAACGTTATGGTAGTGAAGTGCCAGTTGTGGACGCGTTAGCCAATGTTGGTCC